ATACTTGTTAAGTCATTTGAGCCTCACAACCCTATGTAGCAGGTACTGTTTTATCATCATTTTATAAATGAAGAAATAGACACAGAAAGTTAAATATCCTGCCCACGGCTGCCCAGCTAATAAGGGGATAGTTGGCCATGCTGTTGGTCACAACTGTGAAGTCTTCTCAAAGTTGCTAATGCACCAAAGATTTTGAATTACTCAATCATCATCATAACAGTATATATGTGCTCTAAATGATAGTCTCAAATTAATTCAAGAATAAAGGAGCCAAATTAATCATATTGAATATTACTTTTAAAATATTTTGTTATACCAGAGCTGTATCCCTAAAATATTTTGCTAAACAAATTAAAGAACAGTTACTTTAGGGGCCAGGGATCTAGCTTAGTGGCACCAAGCCTGCCTTGCAAGCACAAGATACCGAGTTCAATCCCTAGTACCACCCAACATAAATAAATACATACATATATACATACACAGTTACTCTGGCAAAAACTATGAGTACAGAAATTAGTTTTGCTGTTTCAAATTTGACATCACTAATATTTAGTAGTAAAGATACAATATTTTAAAGACTCTCTCCTAAAACTCAAGCTGGTTTCTTGTTTTTAATGAAAATATTCATAAAACATTCTTCCATAAATATCATTGCTGATTTCACCCCAAGTGTTTTTACTCATGATCTGAACTCAGATTTAGAATTGCTGTTGGAAGATGTTCTCAATCAAAGCCAATTTGTGCAGTTCAATAGTTTGAGTAACACAAAACACTGTTTTTCTACTTGTATACACTGTGCAAGAAAATTCAAAAACATGTCATACACAGAAGCTTTGACCTTAGGAATTTAGTCTAGAATTATTTTATTTAAACTCTTATGAAAGGGGTCTGAGTAATTAGAGTGATCATAATTTAAGTAACTTTTTCAACCAGGAAAAAGTATATGAATTTCAAAAAAATACAAATTTCAGAAGCTATCACGAAAGGCTGAAAGACTTGAAAAACATAGCCAACTGATTTAGTTTGGCTTTCCCACTGAATTGCCAGCATTTTTTTTTAGCTCCATAGTCTCAATAATTACAACTACTACTTATTCAAGACTCAGACCACACAGCCATCTCATTTATGCTTTTTTGAGTGCAAAGAGAAACACTATGAAGTAAACACTGTAACAGATTCAGTGTCTTTAATGAGTTTAATGAAAACAACCAATTTTCTTATTCATCTCTAAACTGTCTTATTTATATCTTGCACATGTGCTGTTTTGTAGCTGAAAACTTCTAGGAAAAACTACTAGCTCTAAAGTCCTGATAAAGCCTCACTCATCTCACATGTCTTAGAATCATTTCCTCCATAGATGCCAAATCCCATTATGCTACTTTCTTCTGTACAAAACTGAGATTAAGATTAGCTGTCTAGTTAGCATTAGAAAAACTACTAAAATGCACTGTGACATGCGAAACTAGTTCAGTAATTTGCCTAGAGTATTTACAATATAGGAAAAAATTATTTGAAAACAAAGACAGAAGTTAACGATGGGAAGGAAACCTCCACAAACTTAGACTATCACTTATTTGATAGTATCTGTTACTTTAAAGACGTTATTTCCACACTTTCCAAAAAAAAGCAGATTTTCTTCTAAGCCTGCCAAAGGTAACACCCTCATTAAGCCTCTTTATTCCAATTAGCCTTAACCTCTTCCTGAAGGCAATCAACACTTCAGACTTTCAAGGTACACCTACTAAGCATCAGATCCCATGGCCTTGGGCTCTTATATGAGTTTACGCTCTGGAGGGGATAAATGCCATGGAAATGGCAAATTTTACAAAGGCTTTTGTGACAGGAGAGAAAATCTTTTAGCCCAGTCACAGAAGATCAAAGGTGGCTTTCTGCAGAGGGTGACACACAGCTCTCAGTTAGAAGGTAAACGCTATGAAGGTAAGGAGAAAGGTATAGAAGGGAGCAGTCCACACTCATTTACAGAGCCACAGGCTCGAGACTCCAGTCATTTCCCCAAACTGGAGTCTTCTGGGTCACTTAGGGATTCCATTTAGGGATTCTTGGGGAGGACCCAGGAGTCTGCAGTTGTAGGAGTCCTTATGAACTGGCAACTTTGGGAAAGGCTGTCAGTTGGGAATGGAAGGGTTTTAGGCAGGAACTTGCTTGGGGTTCACTTTCTGCTTCAGGCAGCAGAGTGGAGACAGTCCAACCCACCTAGTTCTGGCATCATCTAATTTGACATTTGGCCACATTTGATATAATGTCACCATCTATTCTTTTTATATTCTTTTTAAAAAATGGCATGTCTGTCTCCTCAAATGATTAAGCCACATGAGAGGCAAGGTTGGGCACAAGTTTCCCATTCATCCTGCAGAATATCTACATTCTGCTAAGTCTCTTAAAAAAAAAATGTAAATTTATTTGGGGAGAGTATGGCTGCCTCAAATGCATTTTATCCATCATTTCAGGAGAGCTGTATCTTTTACATTAGTCTTCATTAGGCTTTCTTGGTACTCCCTGATAATGACTTGCCTATAAATCCATTTTGTATGAGTAAATTGGTCTTGACACCACAATTTTTCCCATCACTTGGCTCAAGTAATTTTAAGTTTTCATTTTTAAATTGGGTAAGGCAGAAGGAGCAATTCTGACAATTATGACTCTTGAACCACAAACTTGGAAGAGGAAAAAGACATCCCTTCTTTGCAGGGTCACCTTGGTAAAACTTCTCCCTTCAAAATTAAAGCCACAGCTGCCCTCTCTGACTCTTGTCCCTCCCTGACGACTACTCAGGATTGATTTAAATGACCTATTTTCATAAGTGGCTATTAAGTCAAAGGCAGTATATTTTCTGTCAGAAGCCAAGAGGTCTAATATGAGAACAGTCATAAACTGCCCTGCAGATAATTTTTTTTTTTAAGTGGGGGAGGATAAAAAATTTTGTTCATTCAATAATATACTGATTCATGAGCAGTTCAAAGACACCTGCAAGGTGGAAAGCGGAACCAAGGCTTGACCCCAACGCCCAATCCCTTTGAAAGTTACCTACAGTTGCCTTTTTGGATTTGTCAAGATTCCCCTGTTAAATCTGGGGAATGGCCACAATGACAATGAGAGCTTGTGTTGGAGTTAAAGCACTGCAAGACAAAGTACTATACATTAGCCTGCAAAACTTAACTGTCAGACAGAAATGTATCTGATGTGATTTTGAGCTGTGCTATTAATATATGAAAATCCTTATTTCTAGGCAATGTTTACCTGTAAATGTTTACCCACCATAGAGTATTAACAGTTGAGGGTGAAGTAAAATTTGAAAAGCAAAAATTTACAAGAAGACATATTACAACTCAAGTAAATGCAGCACTGGACTAGTCTATCACTATCTGAATGGGGGCATCACACAGCCAGAAGAGCTTTCTAAACAGTTCGGTTCTGAGACAGTAGAGTGCCTTTGAATGCTTCATGCCAATTTTTTTCCTCCCTAAGCAGGAAGATTACTTCCTTTCCTCTTCCCAAGGGCCAAGTGAGTCCCTTCATAGCTTCTCTTCCCATTCTCAGCCACAGCCCTTCTCAGGCTGTTTTGTCATTTTCCTGTTTGCCAAGCAGCCTCCCAGTATGGGCTCTAAATGACCCTAGGACAGGCAATGTCTTACTCATTTAGTACCACCCATCCCTAAGCAGACTGTCCAGATCTGTCTGTGGAAAAGCCATGCAAGGCCAGTGCCCAAAAAATCTGTCCAATCCCCTACCTGCTCCTGCTTACCCAAACCATGGGCATAGGCACTAGTGTAGGATAATGCACATACTTCAACAGCTACCAACCTTGAATCATCTCTATTACTGACCACTAAATAACAGAAGAAGGGAAGATAGAAACACTTTTAGGTCGTTCAAAAAAAATGTGGCACCCAAGTCTACAGAGATGTCTGTTGGCATGCAGATTCCTACAGTCCACTCAGGCAAGAAGCACTGCAGTTTACATTTTATAAAGTCCCGCAGAACATTCCAATAAGCCACTGACTCTCAAGGAGAGGTAATTTTTATTGCCCATGCTCAGGAGCATTTGGAGATGTCTAGACATTCTGAACTGTCATGACTTAGGAGGGTGGTGCTACTGCTATCTAGTGGACAGCGGCCAGGGACGCTGCTAAACACCCTACAATCCCGCAGGACAGCCCTCCACAACAAAGGATCATGTGGCCCCAAAATGTCGATTCACACTGAGAAATGTTGCTTTAAGTGCTAGTAAAAACGAAAAAAAGAAAAATGTTCTCTGGTCTTAAAGCAACAAGAAGTTTTAAAGAAATCTTCGAATTATAACAAATGAGAACCAGTAGTTGCATTCTAACCAGATGATGGGATATAAATTAGCTCTCCATATTGATGGGCTTTTTATGGATTCAGCCAAATGGAGACCAAAAATACTAAAAAAAAAATTTCAGTAGATCTATCACAGTTATATCTGTACTGGACATGTAAACACTTTTTGGTCCATGAACATAGTATTAAAAATGATTTAAATTATATGGGAGGACGTACATTTATGTAATTATGCCATTTACTTGAACTTGAGAAACCGTAGTAGATTTTAGTACCTACAGAGGGTTCTGACATTAATTCCCCTCAGATACTGAGGAACGACCATATAACTTACTAGGAATATTTTATTCTAACATACAAAGATTCTGAAAAACTACGGTTAAAATCTTGATGAGGTTGCCATTCGAACAAAGCGATTTCTACTCCTAACATGAAAGTGGTCAGTTAGTTTCTCATTTCTCACGGTTACAGTTCTCTCAGATGACTAAAATCTATTAGTACCATTCTAAAAGGAGAGAATAATCCAGGTGATACAAATGTCTTTCAGGAATTCTGGTATCTACTAAGTCACTGTTCAGTGAGAGAACACCTATGCAGCAAATAAGGTACTCACTTGGGAGGCAGGAAACCTCAGTTCTAATTCCAGCTCTGCTACTTAAAATTGGTTGTGTGACTTGAGTAACTCATTTCACCTCTCATGGCCCCAGGTTCCTCATGAGCAAAATAAGGGAGTTACGCTAGATGACCATGGAAGTCTCTTTCTGCTCTAACACTCAGCCTATGCAAACTTCAGTAACACACACACTCACACCCCTCTGAAAATTGTACACAAAATGCAAGCAAGCAAGCAGAATTGCCATACATCACTATCAATAATAATAATAATTCCAAAGAGAGGCAATGCTTTTACTAGTTTTATGTGTAAAGTGTTAACAGTAGCTCCTAAGTTTCTAGTGAAACAGGCACAAACATACATGAATGATGTAAACTACTAAAACTTTTTGTACAAAACCATCTGGCAACGTCCCTGCAGCTCTTAAGGCTCTATTAGAAAAGAGTATCTAATGATCACACTTCTAAGAATCCAGTTCAAGGAAATATAGTAAGACTTATCAAATTATTATCTCATATGCTAAAATGAGGCCAAAACTCAAAATAACCTAAATGTCTTACAGGTGGGACCTACACTATGATGAAAAAAGTCAACCAAAATAAGAAACAAAATTAGAAATGTTTAGGAAGAGTTGTTACGTGCACATGGGAAATTTAATAAAACAGGTACTCTGCCAAAGTAGAAGCTAGTACATACATCGGAAAAAGACGGGGTGCAAAGGTTCAGTAACTATTCATTCTTCACCAGTATTCTGCATTTTCAATTCTTCTGCAACAATCATATATCAATTATAAAGGAGGCTGGGGCTGAGAAGACAAATTAAGTATCAACGTTATCTGCAGCATCTTAAAAGTCACCCCCCCATGCACACGCACACATAATCACAATCATACACACACGCGCTCAGAAAACTTGCGATAAGAACTACACGACCTCACAATTCGGTAAGAAAAGCTAGCTCTTAATTCCTAGGGTTAGGCTCAACCACCCCTATGGAGCGGAGGCCCAGCAATTTCCTAGAGCCCGCGAAAGCAGACGAAGCCTGCGGCAGAGTTCGCGTCTGTTTCCCGCCAAAGCCCCGGGTGGCGTTGGGTTTCCCGGGGAACTTCCACCACCAGGAACGGTCCAGGAAGCCAACTCCGTTCCGAAGAGGCCGGGCCGGTGCAGCTCCTCGCAGCGCGGGCGAGGCGCCTTCCACCACAGGCGTGATTCGGGGTCTCGCG